CAAACAGTTGGACCAGTGTTGTTCCTTTATGAAACCTATTGAGATTTTATGCTGCTTTTTGGTGATCCTTGGAAAAGACCTTGAAGTACTGCAGAACTGGTTCGTTTTGTCAACAAACGGAATTAGATTATATCTAAGCCCATTGTCTGTATAAACGAACAGTCCCGTGTACAAGGTACATGTACATTTTTAGATGCAATCAAACGTCTACAGAATTTTATATAATTTGTTTTCAATCAGCATGTGCATTACCGTCCCCTCAAAATTGCCACTCCATAAGTACCATAACCCTGACTTTTTCTATTCCAATCTGATATTTTTAATCCATTCAACATTATCTAACAATCTTTGTTAATACATATGTAGCATGTTTTTAGTACACAGTTATCTGTGTCTTTGACCTTAGTCCAGTATTTCAATATCTTTAATTTTCTAACAATACACATAATTAATCTATCTAGTTCTCCAAAATTTGCAAGGTTATTATGGTATTTTTACCATAATAACACCTACATCTTTTTACAAAAAACAGCGATATATTCTCTCAACCCCACTGCTCTATGACAGCCCACCATCACTTGCATATCCTAGCAAACTACCAATATAAATGTTAAAAACATAGCATGATGTATCGGTACTAAAGCTGTTATGAGTGACGTGGAAAAAAAAGTTCTCACCTTTTTCTGCCGTTGAACGAATTCTAACATCGGTGTAATATAGACCTGAAATAGTCTAAATCATAGAAATCTGGCGACGACACAACGCCGAAATAGGTCCTTGTATATCTATAAGTCTCCATCTATTCAAAAGTCATTGGTTATGGATGAAATTGACCCGAAAATATGCTATTTTAACATCTAAATTATTACCTTGATTTTAATGTTACGAAACGGGTGACGACATATCGTTAAGTGGTGATCGGCGTAAACATCTATGATTTAAACATATTTTATTGTCGAAACAGACAAATGGATGAGAGACAAGTTCTAACAACCTACAAGCTCTTCTCTACGAATACAGCATATGAATTACATTTAAATCACGTGACGTACTATGTACACAGAGATAAATTTACAAGATAATAATAAGGTAGATGTATTTTTGTCTAAATCTACTTTATCACAAAAATCGCGCAATGTATCAAATAAGACACGTCTTTGAATAACAAAATTTGAACATGTAAAGAAGTAAAGATTCGCATCTTCCACATCGTCACCGCACAAACAATTTGGGGACCGACAAATTACTACTCAAAATAAATCTGACCGTAAACCACAACAACGATGCCTTATACGGCCATGTAGTACAGACAGATAGCGATTTCCAGTATGCAGATAATCAGGCACAGATGGAGGTACACGAGAAATTTTACTCTTAAAAGTCTGAAGAGAAACACCGGATTTTATGTCGTTATCTAAATTATTCCATAAATGTACAGACGACGGAACAAAATATTTTTTTGTAATTTCAAGACGACAACGGGATGCCTGATAATTGTCTGGGTTTCTTAACTCCCTGTTTAAATCGCGCCTGCTTGGTGGGATTAGGTGTTCTAAGTAAGCTGGGGCACGTTTATAGTGAATATTATAAAAAATACACAGTTTCTTCTCTTCTCTTCTCTGTTTAAGTGGTTTCCAGCCAGTTTCTAAAGACCGGATATGGCCCTAGCTGCTTCCAATTGTACTTTTTCCAAAGAGTCGGACAAATGTTCAGAGCAGCCGTCCCAAACACTAGAAGCATATTCTAGCACAGGTCGAATAAATGATTTATATAGAGTATTAAGAGTAGATTTACTTACTTTGTATTTCAGTTTTTTTTAAAGCTGTAACTTTTTGAGAAGAAGATTTTTTTTTTTTATAATATTTTTTTTGACACATTTTCATCATTACAGAATAATTACAATATTGATTTTCACACTCATTCTTCAACCAACATTTAATACAAATTTTGTAATGATTTTTTTTTAGAGAGAGAGAGAGAGAGAGAGAGAGAGAGAGAGAGAGAGA